GAGAAGAGAAAATTTACATACTTAAGTACTAATAGTTCACGAAAATAATAATTTTCGTGAACTATTATTACTTAAGTATGTAAAAATTTATTACATTTCCTGTTGTACGAGGGTTTTACCCAATTCTCGAACTGTGTCAGAGTGAATCCGTGCTATAAAAGTACCGTGTTATACGGGGGATGGTACCAATTCTCGAACCGTGTTAGAGCGAATCCGTGTTATAGAAGTGCCGTGTTATACGGGGGTTACCTGTACTTGTATGTATTGTTTGCTTGAGAATACAACAGAGAATAAACTGCCCAAATACCCTTAAACAAAGGAAAAGTACGTCCTTTATGAAGGCATAGAGCCTTTACTACATGAAAATGAAAATTAATGAATATATTGTGTACAGTAATTTACCTGATAAGACAGACCTCAGAAAAATACTTTATGAGGCATAAAGCTGTCTATAATGAAAATTATAGACAGCTTTATGCCTCACCCTGGCACACCCTGGCAGGTTTTTTTGCCCTGCCAGGGTATGGCTGAGTTATCCGGACTGCCGGGTTATTGAGAGCCGAGTTTTCAGGACTCTAGTGTACTTATAACAATTATTGACTAAAGAACAGTATTTGTATTTCTGCTGCATCTAAATATGATGATATTCAGATGCAGCAGAAATACAAATACCGTGTTTGATAGGCCACGCTGTTAAAAAACCAAATATTTATAAAACATCATTTTCATCTCTAACAATTCATTATTTAGGCCTATTTCTTCCACTTCTTCCTCCTCTTCTGAAAAATTATAGGATGAATAAGGCCTTAGCCCATCTGACCTACCTGAAATCTTATTAGCCTCCAATTTTGATATGTACAAAATCTATGACCTAGGAACTGAAGGAACATCAGAAAACAGTTACTAATTAAATTGATTAGGTCCAGATGACCTGATTGACTGATATATCACATCTCCCTCTTGAATGTCATAAATATTTTAAAAGCTAACAACAATATTTCTTACACCTGAGTTGGAGTTTTACAAAGGGGTTTGCAGACCAAAACATGGAAATGAACCAAAACTTAAACACAGTCCATGTGGCATGATTGACTTTAAGGTGATCAACAATGCTTAAATGTTTTATTGTTTGTTAGGCTGCATATTTGATAGGCCACATTTATGTTATAACCACTAATTTTTCTTTGATAAGTCACAGCTTAGCATCCCAAAAATATGGTAAATGTTTCACGTTAAATTTGCTTATGATTAAATGATAGAAATATGTAATATGTATTATTTTCTTCAAAATTATGTACNAGGTCAGTCCAGATAGAGTCCAGGATGAAGTAGAGAATGTCACTAAAATCTTGCACTATGAGAAATTTGGAGAGAGAAGCTCTCTTTGTCCTTGATATCAGAGTTTTTAATCATTTTCAGTCCCTGATCAACCATTTCAATTGGTTATCTTACCTCATTGCCACTTTCTAATCGGTCATCACTTGTTACTAAGTGTAACAAGATCTGAACTCAGATCATGAGATGAGTCAAAACTTACATTTAATCTGATCCCAACTGGAGAAAGTTGATCTTAGGACTTACATTATCTAATTTTCCTTTGTTGTTTCTGAGAAAAAATTTTTATTTTTCATTATTGTTATTATTATTATTAATAATAGCATTAAAAATCCACAAAATAAAATCTATTAATTTATTTTTACAGTTTTCAAATAGTTTGGTTGAATTAGATTTCCACATTTAAATATAGTACTTTTTCTTGAATCTAGAAAGTTGGTGTAATCTTTTTGCAAATGAAACTGGAACATAAAACCATTGCATTATTTTACTTTAGCACAGCAATCACATGGGTTGCTAATTTTTGATACAGTCTAACCTCCAAACAATGTCACTTCTAAACAGCCATTTTTTTCAGAAACTTTTTTTTTTTTCTTATAAATTATACTTTTTCCTTCAAATTATATCTTTTTAAATTAATAACTTTTGAAGTTATAATTTTATAAAGATAAAAAATTACATTTTTTAAATTGAAGTTTCATGCTCTCTGTTCCCATCTTCAAATATCAATAGTAATTTTCACTGCTAGACTGCTGTTTAAGACTGCTGTTTAAAACTAAGTTTCACAACTGTGCCACAAATTAAAAATTGTTGAAAAAAAATGCTTTTTTATATCTATTAAATGCTTTAGTAAATTATATTTTAAAATAAACTTAATTAATTATTAACTTTTACAACTGAACCAAACTAACATAGAAAAAAAATAAACCTTTTGTAAAATATAAAAATTATAACATTTTGTTTATGTAAGCCATAACTATATTGATTAATAATTACATATACAATTAAATATAATTTTAAAAAGTCTTAACTTTAAAAATATAGTGTTTAAAATTATAAATAAATAATATATACTGTTTAACATTACTTGGCATTTAACTGGTATCTGATCACTATTGATCCATTTATCTTCATAAACTTCACTGATTGTTTCCATTAAACTTTTACTAGCAACTTGCATGGCTAAATAAATTTAAATATATTAGAATACTGAAATTGCTTTTTAATTATAAGTATTATTTATAGTTTACAGTAACATAATTTCATGCAGATAACCCACAGATTACTTATGTTTAAAAGATAATATGAAAGAGGGTACAGATTGTGAACTGGGTGCAAGATTGTATGCTGATTTTAAATTACAAATACAAAATCACCAAACAGCTTTTCCTTTGTCTGAAATCACTTACATGCATTTTTAAAATGTGTAAAGAATACTTTGTGCACTGCACATAGTCATCTACCATCACAAATTTTTCAGAAACCACAAAATACATGCATACATACATGTCATATTTAGTTCATTTCAGTTCATTTTCTATGTGTAAATCCAGACTTTAATTATCATTATTATTGTATTGGGTTTAGTGGGTAATACTCGGTTTAAACCGGTGGCTGTGTACTATGCNTTCAAGATTGCTCTTTCATTCTTGTTGTTAACACAATTTCTTGCTTAGTTTGCCTTGAAAATTTAAAGGAGGGCCACCATCTCTCTATTATATTTCCCATTTACAGATGTTTTTAACATGAAGGCTTGTTGAAATAATAGAATAATCCCCACTTCCAATGCATAGACAGAGAACAACGGTGATTTTTTTTCCATGAAGAATATGTTATTTGTGCTAAGGAGCACAAATAAGCATATTTGACATATTGGGGTAGCAATCGTTTGGTGGAGCCAATGCAAATCAGATCTCTTCCAGACCTGTTGTCTCTAAGAGGAATGGCATATACTCTAGAGGCTCTATCCTTATCCTTATTTACCAGGTCCTTCACATTGCTAAGTAAAGTGAAAATGGTCGATTTTCACTTGTACATGATGCTGTGTCCCTTCAAACTGGCTTTCTGGTTATATATAGAAGCTAAAATGCAATTTTTTTGTAGTACTAAGCAGTCTTTCTCCTCTGGTTGTGCTGTATTCAGAATGTCAAAAATGTTAAAAAGATGATAATTTTTACAACTGCTGGATTAATTTTCAGGTTAGTGATATTTTATGTACTAATAAGTTGTCCAGTTAAAATTTGAAGAACTGTTAATGTATTTAATAATTGTTTCTCTTGCCACTTTTCACCAGCAATTTGCTCTCTATATAAACAAAGCTTAAAATCAAGACATTATTAAATTTTATTTTTAATTTAATTAAAAATTTTTTGAGTTTATTTTGACATTTATTATTATTATTATTACCACTTATTTCATAATTATATTTAAATCTGCAATGAATTAAATCATAAAATACCAGATTATTCAAGCTGTATTTTGGTACATGTTACTGTGGATTATCTGTACATAGTTATTTTAAAAATTATTACAATAAGCTTATAACAAAGTAATAAAAAAACCAAATAAAAGTAGGATTTTAAAGTTTTTTAAAATCCAACAATAATAAAAATTATCAGACTGTATGAAAATGAAATTCTATCTTCATAGGTAGCTATTTTTCAGCTGTAATGTTGCAGATATGTCATAACAGCACATGGTGTAAAAAGTATCAATAGCTGGTATGTAATACTGGCAGTTGCTCAATAAGAAAAATTCTATTAATATATGTTCAGATGAGAAATCTGGTGACAGGTGTGCTAAAAATGCAATACACTAGTCTACTTTATTGACCACAATGAATGCCTTAGGCTAATTGAAGCAGATATAAAAAGAACATAAGATAGTTTCTATCTTTCTAACAAAAAACAAAAAGGGTGGTTTCTTCAGAGACCATCTTTTAATTAATTGGCAATACTGACTGGTAATTGTCTGTCCCTGCTAGGTTCTTGTTGAACAAAATAAGGAGAATTTGAAAAGGAAAGGTAAAAATGGTCACCAAACAGGCACCATACAATAACTGACACTAAATCCAAAACAAAAAATAGAGAAGTTAGTGCAAATGCAGATTGAGATATATAGAAAAATTTGGAAAATACTATAAATGTTACAATATAAGAAAAAATAAATAATTAATAGCATTAAACATTTCTTTTTAGTTATAGTTACATTTTTCCTAAAAAATTTTATTTTTAGTCAGTCTATACATGTACCAACAGTAATATTTTTAGAAACAAGAACTGTTCATAAGTATCCAAAAATAGCAAGTACTGTAGATTTTAAAAGTGAAAAGATACTTCCATTTTTCATAAGATAATTTATTATACTGAAATAACAATCATTTTAAATAATTATAAAAATTCTTTTGATTTTACCCTTTGCTTCAAAACATAAAGTTTTTTTTATTTAAATACAATACTGTTAATAAATTTTGAAAATACAAAATACATTAAATTCTCAATTTAATGAACTAACTCAGGTGAGGGGTGTCCATAAAAATGAAAGTCCATTATATAATAAAGTAGGTTTTCCAAATGCATGTGTTAAAAAATTGGCAAATTAGTTAGTTTACCTGTTTTTACTTATGTAGATATATTTGTGTAATTAAAATTATGTATGTATGTATGTATGTATGTATGTATGTATGTATGTATGAGAAGTTTAATTTCACAGAAAAGCTCTCTATATGTATTATTGCTTTTGTACTCATTTTAGTTCTGGACTGTAATAAACAAGTATATGATCAAAACCAAAATAAACAAACAAACTTTTGAAAAATATACTTTAATTGTATTTAACTAAACATATAATAATGTTCTTAAAAGAAAATAAAATTTAAATTTGACAAAAACATATAAAGTATTTCCTATTTATTTGTCTTTGGATGATGATATATTGAGACATACCCATTGTTGCATAAACTTAAGAGCAGTGACTCATGGATTTGAAAAAACGTGTTAATGTAATTATATATAAAAAGCATTTTAAAATTAACAAGGTGTTAATTTTCACATGACATACCAACCAGAAATTTTGTCTATTAAATCAAGGTTTTATTGTAATAATCAAAATCCTAATTCATGAGTGATAAAGATTTTAACTTATGTTTCATACAGGGCTGTGGAGTCGGAGTCGTGGAGTTTTGGTGTTTTAGCCGGAGTCAAAGTCGTAAAAAAATCCACCGACTCCAACTCCTTTTTACTTATGTATATAAAACAGAAAAGTATTGGAATCGTGTCAAATTTGACCCAAGTTTTTTTTTGCAAATCTACATGTTTGGAGACCTCCCGAATCCCTCAAAAAAGTCAGTAAAGGGAAAAAATTCGCACATGCATGTGTGTTAACGTCTAATTTGTTTAATTTCTTTATTTTTACCCATTCTGAGATATTAAACAATATCTCAGAATATCTGAGATATTAGTATCTCAGGATCTCAGAATATCTGAGATATTAAACAATATCTCAGAATGGGTAAAGTTTAAGAAACGAAATGTGGCACTGTGGCTTGCGTATAAAGGGGCATTAATACTATTAAATTTTGGTTCTTAATTAAAGGTCAACAGGGTGAAGACCTAAAAGTGGTCATGTGTCATATCTCTTAATGAATATTTTACTCGTTATTAGCATTCAAAATTAAAAAAAAATAAAATAAAGCTCATCTCTACCCTCAAAGTAAACTTTTTAGCCATTTTACAATAGTACAGTAAAACCCATTAAGATGTTCTCGCCTAAGATGTTAGAATGTATATGGAGACACAATTTAGTTCAACCACTTTAACGCTTAATAACTAACTCCTGTGTTAAACCATCTGACTCCGATTCTGACCACAGAAATTATTAGGCTTCAAACAGGATGAACAAAATCATGCCCCCCCACACAGTCTAACATCCACACATATAGAAAAATCCTCGAATCTTTTGCATATCTCGAAATTTCAAGGTGTCCCAAGTCCAAAAATGTAAAAATTTGGGAGGGGTCATTTTTTGAGCGAGCGCTACACTTTTCCTGTTATATAGGCCTATAACAGCAGGAAAAGTAAAAATTATCGAATACATATTTATATATTACTTAGAGAAGTCTTTTAGCTTTGGAATAAGTTTCTATGCTCTATCTTTATTAGAACTCTATTTATTGAATCTTTTATTCTGAGGTCACGTGATGACATCAGAATTTCCAGGTTTCTTTCGGTAACAAGTCCNTCCAGATGACCTGATTGACTGATATATCACATCTCCCTCTTGAATGTCATAAATATTTTAAAAGCTAACAACAATATTTCTTACACCTGAGTTGGAGTTTTACAAAGGGGTTTGCAGACCAAAACATGGAAATGAACCAAAACTTAAACACAGTCCATGTGGCATGATTGACTTTAAGGTGATCAACAATGCTTAAATGTTTTATTGTTTGTTAGGCTGCATATTTGATAGGCCACATTTATGTTATAACCACTAATTTTTCTTTGATAAGTCACAGCTTAGCATCCCAAAAATATGGTAAATGTTTCACGTTAAATTTGCTTATGATTAAATGATAGAAATATGTAATATGTATTATTTTCTTCAAAATTATGTACATAATTATTATTATTAATAATAGCATTAAAAATTGTTATTACTTTATATAACAAGTAAATCTCCAATCCCTGATTCTTATATTATATAGTAATACTAACTTGATTGGTTTAGACCAGTTAAATATTAGCTAGTCTAAACTTTACACAAAATACACTATTTGCAGATTAAAAGTAATTATTTCATAACTATAAAATAATCAAATCAATGTTCTTGCTAAGCACAAAACATGTATAACTGTAGCAGTAGCCTAACTATATTTTGAAGCTGCCCTGCCTGCAAAGAATTTTCAATTCCTATATGTTTATGAAAAACTAAAAACTATAATTTTTTTCACTAATCTTTTTAGATTGTATAAAAAACATTGTTTATTCAATTTATATATATTATTATAAATTTTTTTAAATGTTCAAACACTGCAGACTTCCAGGACACTTTCATATTGCAGAGTTTCATGGACATAGTTATGCCACTGAACTCTAGAACTGATGAAAACTTTAATTATAACTCGAGTAAGCCAAATCTATTCCAAATCAGGACAACTGACTGCCACTAACCAATTGATTGCCTGCCAAGCGATTGCCAGAACAACTGACTGATAGAAATTGACCTCCCAGGATAATTTACCATCAAAAAATTTTCAGTTGTGTTTCAATGTCTTAACGAAATTTACAGAATTCTAGAATTTATTCTAGTTAGTTAGTAAATAATTTCCAATGTAGAATAAAACAATTTGATTGAAAAATATTTTAAAATGGAACATAAAAAGAACTTTAAAAATATACTCATTTATTCAATGACAAAATTACGTGATATTTCATGCAAATAAATTATTTGATAATACAGTAGAGCATCGTTTATCCGAAAGTCAGTTATTCGAAAGAATTCCAGTCAGCAAATTTAAATTTTCGCTAGTGCTGTGGCGCTGCAATCTTTGGCTATATCTTGGACTACTCCAATGTTTTTTATGTTTGTGTATGTGTTTTAGCTGGCAGCACTGTCACTTTTGTGTGGTATTTTTCTGAGGACTGTGTGTCATGCTGAATCAAACGTTTTTGACACTAGATAACTTCTAAAGTATAAATTTTTTTTTTGTTTTTATATTTTTCAATATATTTATTTTGTTTGTAAAAAATAAAGAAATAATTCTTAACGATACAATAGCCACGATTATTATTTTAAAAAGTTTACATTAGGCTTAACATTGACGAAAATTCAGTGCGAAGCGACACGCAACGGAGAAAAATTTCAACAGGGGATAGGTTAATGTATTTTTTCATACATTATCCTATTTTTTCGTACATTATTTCGTACAGAATATGATGGCTCCTAGATATTTTGCCTGGCACTCATAAAAATTTTATTATCCCTGATTAACAATTCAATTACTTTTATTATGTTATTAAATTTTGTAAATTCATAACAATTTATTTGTGCATTTCATAAAATTTGTTAACAATTAATAGTAATGATTCTATTCAAATGTATAAAAAAAATATTTTAAAAATTCTTACCTTTTACACAAATAATATAATTTCTTAATTCTTTTTGCAGTTTCAGAGCTATATTCTTCAAAAAAGAAAAAAATAATAAATATATAAAATTTTTTATTGTAATTACAAAATACTTTATGTTGTCTATACATACAGATAATTACATTTATAATTTTTATATATTAATTTTTTATAGTAAAATATAAATTCTTACCTGTTGTTTAATAAAATTATCAACATATCTATCAAACATCTCATCTATTGTCTTGTCAGCCTTACCAAAGTTTTGCAATAACTAAAAAGAAAACAAAAAAATTAAAATTAATCCCATAAAGTCATGAAATTTATTTTTAAATTACAAATTATAATCAAATAAAAGTCTAAAAATTAAAAACATTCTTCTAAAATTTATTTTTTATAGTGAGAATGTAATGTTAAACTAATATAATTTAAGAAAAATAACTTTTTTTAATACCAAAAATAAAAATATTGTATATTATTTGGAAAGATATGTTTGAAAATAATATATTTCAAAATATATTACATGCAGTCCTCTACTTTTGTACCTAATTGGTTCCTGAAATGTGTATGAAAGTAGAGCAATGAAAAAAAACATTAAAAAGGGTTTTCAAAATATTTAATTTTTTATTGATTAGTTAGTATCTGGTGTTTTTTTTTTTTATAAATTTGTCAAGAGATAATTAAATTGTACTCTTCTTTTCTTAATAAAGAATTCTGTAACATGCTGTGTCTTCTTCTATTGCCCTTCATACATGATATATACGTTCTCTATTGGAATCACATTCTTCAATGGTCAAAATGATAATATTTCATTTAATATTTTGAAATAAATTTCAAAATATTAAATGTTTTGATATTTTAAATCAGCAACCGCACACTGGGTTGTATATAACAAAATATGACCTACTTGAACCTATAACCGGTGCGTACAAAGTTTAATCTTCCAAAACAAACATTTTCCTAGTTCAAGTTTATTAGTTCAAATTTTCGTGTTTGAGTTCGATCCAGCTGATTTACCTGAAGAAGAACGGGGGAGTTCAAAAATATTAATGGTAAACTTTCTCTTTTGTTTTTTTTTCATCACACACGGAGCATCAGTTCATAGAGTATATTTTTTTTATATTCAAACATTTACATATTTTTCTTTTTGACTTGTAAATTGAAATTAGAAAACTTATAAATTTAAAATACTNATCCGGACACTTTTGGTAATCTGACACACCTTTGGTCCCATACCTGTCGGATTATCAAGGGACAACTGTATTATTAAAATAGTTCTCAATATATAAATATTAGTCAGTATGACAATATACTAATAATATTTACAAAAGAAACATTTTATATTGTTATAAACTAACTGGAAAATAATAATAAAATGTAAAATAATTTTATGAAAAGCAACAAATTGCATGCATACAATACAAACTTTCTTCAGTGAGTGATTAACAATTTATTACTGATTATAAAATAATTTCTTATTATTTAAAAATATTTAATGTTCATTGACTTTAGAAATTTTTGATATCTGATTGAATAATAAAAATACCATTAACCACAATGGATAAGAATATCAAAATATTATGGAATAAGGAAAAATCATTGGAACGTTCATACCACAGAAAATATTATTACATCTAAAAATTATGAATTTTTAAATAAAGCGTTAAACATAATATGATCAATGAAAAAAAGCTGCTTCATTATTAAATGTGTGAGAATGGATTGACTCCATGAAATTTAAAACCTGAATCAGATAAGTGTGCCAGTGATTATGAAAGTGGCTTAAGTCAGTTTTCATTTTGAGATATTTTGACTTTTAAATTTGTAATTATTCAAATATATATATATATATATTTTTATCATATAAAAAAAACACAAAATATATTTACTCTTCCAACATTGTAATTGTAATTGTCAAATTTTACAAATAGTTTATGAAATAAAATCAATGTTTTCCCATTTTTGACTTAGACCATTCTCATAATCATAGGCACAACTGCATTTCATTTCATTTTATCTATTTATTTACTTACTTTTTGTTTTGCTCTGATAAGAATATTTCATGATAAGTTATAAAATCAATTATATCCTTGACATGGTTTTCTTTACAAAGCCTAAAGATGGCTAAGTAGTCAAAATGTTACAAAATTTATTTTTTCTTATTAACTTCAGTTAAATGGTTTATTTGAAAGTGTTTGTGGTTATTACATCTAAGTAAATTTTTGAATATGTTTACATTTATTTTATAATTGTTTTTATAATTAAAAATAGAATTTTTCATATCAATAATCAAATAAAAATAAATAAAGTTTTATAAATATATATGCACACACACGTGAGTGACTATACCATAATTATGTAAACGAATAAAGTAATTCATGAAATAATTTACAAAAATTTAACTTATAAAAACTATATATTTTATTTTAAAAAAGAAGAAAAGAATTTACATAATATTCAGAATAAAAAAAAATATATTATTTAATTCATAAAACAACTTTAAATTGATAAGTCAATATAAAAATATTTAGTTAAATATAGTTATATATTCTAATTTTCAAATTTTGTAATTAATTATTTTGCAAACTTAACCTAAAACAGAATATAGAAAATATTTGTATAAACTTATAAAGGAATGTAGTCAGGAAGTGAATGATTCAAGTTTACAATATGACCTCTAGCATACTTATATAGAGATCATTGCACTCTATAGTTCATTATGATATTTAAATCATAAGAAAATATTATATATACTTTTATTTCAGAATATTTTTAAGAAAACAAAATCATATAAAATTTAAAATTTTTGAATGTATAATTTAAAATAAATGTTCATCAAGTTTAAAAAAAAATTTTTTTTTAAATACAGTATGGCTATTGGTTTGAATATTCTTTTGTCAGCCTTCAGGAGTTAATATTCAAGCCATTACTACCTAATTACCAAAATTTAACAGAATATGTTGTCAAATAATTTTCAATCAACATTATAAATGCACAGAGAGCCATAAATCATTAGTCAAGATCAATTTTGTTACTGTTACAAGTCAAATATTGTAGCCATACCTGTTTAACAAAACACTAGGTGACAACACAACATTTGTCCTGCATTAAGCCTTTGATCAATTGTAGCTTAGATTTTGTATTGGTAATACAATGTGGAATTGCAGAAGGTACCAGAAGTTCATTCTACATAAGCAAATAATTTTTCATCTGGTGTTTGGAAGAGCTATGATATAAAATTTAAACTTTTCATCACAGAATATGCCATTTTAAAATTTTTTGTTCTGAAAATTGGTTCCAAACAGAGGTGCACCTTATATTTGGATAAATGTAGTATATATTAATATGTAACACAACAATTTTTGCAGTTGACTAGCAACTTGTCTTGCAATGATAGGTATGCCATCCATTTCAATAGGGTTGGGATATTATCTCTATCTCCATGGTTAACAGTTTTTGACTTTAAAGTTCATTAATTAATCTGATGGTTTCAGCTATCCTTAAGTTTTATTGACTTCAGGCTTTTTAATATTCCTACTTGATCCCACAGTAGGTTAACATTTCTAAGACAGCTTATACCAAGACAGTATTTTCTATGTTAAGCCATATGTCTTATGCATCAATGGTTTGTTCTTATTATATAATATATTCTCAGAAATATTACTCCTATGTATTTAAGAGTTGTGTCTTTTATTTCATCAACGAGTGGTATTTTAAAGACTACTGTTATGAGGATGATCAATCTTTTGTTTCTGATTCCTAAGGATGTTGAAAATTAAAGGTTTTTCTCTTCAATTCTAAGAAATTATTATATTTGTTTACAAGATATTACATTAACTTGTTGGCAAAGTTGAGAAACAGAAGGATAATTTTCTAGTTTTGAGGTCAAATGATGTTTGATTTTGTTCTGTTTCTTATGCTTCTTTTACATATTTGACATAGTGTATGTAACAGCATAGTTTGTGTTTAAAAATACTGATATTTGATGTTCCAAGAATTTTAGACTGTATAAAAAGCATTTTTATTTATTTAATAATTAGTATATAAAATCTCACTAGTCTCGAAAATTAGTCCAACAGTTGTCAAAATTATCACCTATCTAATGTTTTCTACCTACTCTGAGAGTTTTCATCAGAAAATTCAAACAATGGAATGTTCATTGAATCTTCAAACAGGAAAAATTTACTTTCAAATCAGCTGTCATGTGCACATTATGCAATGCAATATGAACTGCCTATCATAGTTCATAATGTACTATCAAAGCATGCCTGCCACGCTTTCAAGATTGCTCTTTCATTCTTGTTGTTAACACAATTTCTTGCTTAGTTTGCCTTGAAAATTTAAAGGAGGGCCACCATCTCTCTATTATATTTCCCATTTACAGATGTTTTTAACATGAAGGCTTGTTGAAATAATAGAATAATCCCCACTTCCAATGCATAGACAGAGAACAACGGTGATTTTTTTTCCATGAAGAATATGTTATTTGTGCTAAGGAGCACAAATAAGCATATTTGACATATTGGGGTAGCAATCGTTTGGTGGAGCCAATGCAAATCAGATCTCTTCCAGACCTGTTGTCTCTAAGAGGAATGGCATATACTCTAGAGGCTCTATCCTTATCCTTATTTACCAGGTCCTTCACATTGCTAAGTAAAGTGAAAATGGTCGATTTTCACTTGTACATGATGCTGTGTCCCTTCAAACTGGCTTTCTGGTTATATATAGAAGCTAAAATGCAATTTTTTTGTAGTACTAAGCAGTCTTTCTCCTCTGGTTGTGCTGTATTCAGAATGTCAAAAATGTTAAAAAGATGATAATTTTTACAACTGCTGGATTAATTTTCAGGTTAGTGATATTTTATGTACTAATAAGTTGTCCAGTTAAAATTTGAAGAACTGTTAATGTATTTAATAATTGTTTCTCTTGCCACTTTTCACCAGCAATTTGCTCTCTATATAAACAAAGCTTAAAATCAAGACATTATTAAATTTTATTTTTAATTTAATTAAAAATTTTTTGAGTTTATTTTGACATTTATTATTATTATGTTGTGAATGTCATGCTCAGTTGATACTGGTTCCAAGTGCTCTGTCAGACTAAAGTCAAGTATAGCTACCTAAACAAGTGTTACATTAAACTTCTGTGTTATTGGTATGTATGTCAACATCTAGAAACATCCTAACAATGTGACACGTGTTCAATATTGCAGCTTTTTTAGTGCTGTGTATATGTTTTTATTAAAGTTTAATGTGTAGTGTATGTAGCATAACA